ATAGATCATGTCATATCATATACAAAATACATATATATATATATATATATATATATATATATATATATATATATATATATATATATATTGGGTTTCTGAGAGGTCACCAATGTCAGAAGGAACAAAAAACATAAGATATCTCATAACTCTTCATGACTTCCGGCTCGAAACTTCTTAACGGACTGTCTTATATACTCGTCGTTCTTGCTAATTTATACATCTAGTATATATATATATATATATATATATATATATATATGTGTGTGTGTGTGTGTGTGTGTTTTGCGCGTGTGTGTGTTTGTGCGCGGACGTTGTTTTATCTCTTCATATATTCTGTGCTATGTTATCCAGTTGTTAGGATTGATGGGCAAAATGCGAGACCAAAGTCATCCATCACTCTTTTGTCTTGTCATTTTGCTAATGAACAGACTGCACTTTAGTCATTGTAGCTTCATAGGCCGTGGTTTTGTGTGCATTATCAAGGCCATGTGTGAAATGATCACAGTCTTCGCCCGCAGTATTTTTTCTCAGACACGACAAAACCAGAATAACAGTAATAAAATTTGCCCATTCAGCAACAGATGCATCATCCTCTATGATATTCAGTTTCATCTCAGTAAATGCAAATGAGCAGATCTTTGATAGTAACAGCCATGTTGTGCAAGTAAAAACAAAACAAAAGCAATCTTAACGATGACGAGATTCGAATATCTTTGGACCATATTCAAGAGCACATGTAATTGAAGTATTAATTTATTCCTCAAAAGTAATGAAAATAAAGGAACTGTATCATCAAACTTTCAGAAACATACTTTAATATCCCCATTGTTTACCTTGTCTTTCAGTTAAACTGACGTATATTTACGAGCATTTCTTACAACTGAAAAACTAACTATATTTATACTAGATTTATACTAGTTTTTAGTCATGTTTTTGTTCACACACACACACACACACACACACACACATATATATATATATATATATATATATATATATATATATATATATATATATACAGGTTTCATTAAAAACGACAGACAAAGTTTGCACGTTTAAGCTTTTTATATAATTTTCTTATGTTCAAACAAGAGCTTCCTTTTCTGGACAAAGAGAGTGTAAAAATGCTTATCCAGACGCCTTACGTTACACCTATCTGATCACAGCTCCATTAAAACCCATTTAAACACAGACACAAGCTTACCAGACTCAATTCGAAACATACTAGTAGAAAACACAAATATAATAACTTCATCCAACTGTAAAAAAAAGTTTCAAAATAATAGAAGCTATAATAATAAAAAAGAAAAAGCCATCTCTTAACAATATTAATTACGAACAAGCTCAAAATTTGCTAACTATATTCGGAAATTAAAAACATCTCGACAACACACTAAAACATACACATAATGCAAACGCTCAATTAAGAAGAAAAATCAAATCATCATTGGTAATGGCTAAAGGTATAGCCGAAAGAGCTCGGAACTATAAAACATTTGTAAAGTTTTTAAGAACTCTTTGTCCAGAATGAAATCTCCTGTTCGAACACAAGAAAAATTAAATAAAAAGACTTAAACGTAGTACCTTGTCTGTCGTATTTAATGAAACATCCATAAACGAAAGATTTTTGCGTAAATATACAAGTATATATATATATATATATATATATATATATATATATATATATATATATATATATATATATAACAATGAACAATTCATGCAAAAAGTAAATTAGTAAAATTAATGATATAAAATGGCGAAATCCATAACTATATATATATGAGTGTCTGTGTGTCTGTGTGTATAGATATATGTGTGTTTGTTTATTTACCTATATATATATATATATATATATATATATATATATATATATATATACACATGTGTGTATATGTGTGTGTGTATAAATATGTATGTGTGTTTGTCTGTGCATATATAGTGATTTTCCAAGCGTAGCTTAGATGTGGCACAAGGGGGGCATTCAGTGAGGATCGAACTCACTACTCAGATGTAATTGATCTAGTGTACGGTGGGTTGAACCATATGATATTTCTTCTCCTGTTGGCCTTTTTTGTATTCTGTGGTGAGTATGTGAGTATTGCTGGGAATCCGCTATCTTTTAGGGCCGTTTCATAGTCTTTCATAGTCTTTGTTAGCTTTTCATTGGAGGAATTGTCGGAGAGCCTGCGGTTAATCGATTTTGGTATCTGTTTGATTATAGAAGGCGGATGGTTGGAAGATGTGTGTATGTAGAGTGGTTTATCGTTAGATTTTCTGTATGGTTTATATGTGCCTTCTCTTAGGTTGAAGGTAACATCTAGGAAATCTACTTCGTTTAGGTTAGTTTTTATATCTATGTCGAATCCGTTATTTTTTAAAATCTTTATTATTGCTTTTCTAGTTTTGTCTGTGTGGAGAAGAAATATCATATGGTTCAACCCACCGTACAGCAAGAACGTAAAAACAAACGTAGGAAAAATATTCTTCAAACTCTTACACAAACACTTCCCAGAATCGAGCACCTTACACAAGATATTCAACAAAAACACAGTAAAAATCAGCTACAGCTGTAGCGAGAGTATGGCACAAATAATAAAAAAGCACAATAGGAAAATTATCAACAAACCACACGAACAAATTAAACCCACGTGCAACTGCAGAATAAAGCACGAATGTCCCTTAAACGGAAATTGTCTACAAAACAACGTAATATACCAAGCCACGATAAAATCACCAGATAATGAAGAAAAAGTATACATAGGAGTAACTGAAGGACCCTGGAAGCAAAGAAATTATACACACAAAACATCGTTCACAAATAGTAAATATGCGAACAGTACTACGCTTTCTAAGTATATCTGGGAAATAAAAAACAAAACGCACATCACACCAAAAATATCTTGGAAGATAAGAAAAAAGTCATCAGCCTACAACAACCAATCAAAAACTTGCAAACTTTGCTTAGAGGAAAAAATAGCTATCATTACTTTCCCCGACCAAAATAAATTATTAAATAAAAGATCCGAGCTCATCTCAAAATGCAGGCATGAAAATAAATTTTTACTACGTAACCTAAAAAATGAAAAAACGGAAAAAATAAAATAAAAAAAACAAATACACTAATAAAAAAAAGAAATAAATAAAAAAATAGATAAAATAAAATAAAATAAAATAAATACTATGTTGCTTAAAAAACGAAAACCAAAAAGAGAAAATATACAAATAAATTGACCTAAATTCATCCAAGTAAATAAATAGACAAACCAATCCCAAATTAAAAAACTGTTCCCGCCAAAAAAATAATAGTTAGAATGAACTACAACAACCAACCCCAAAATTGAACAAATACCTTTAATTAAATTCTCAAACCAAAACAAAACTGTTAAATACGTGATATAAACAAATTTTTACTACGTTAATAAATAAATAAATAAAGAAAAAATAAAAATAAAAAAATAAAAATGAGCAATATAATTTGACCCAAATAAATAAACGAAGCAACTTCCGGTAAAAATAACCGCCATAATAGAATACCCACAATGCACCACTAACCCGTATATATATAAATAGCCGAGAAAAATAACAGCATATGTGGCCTGACGATTGCATATAGCATGAAACAGACTGTCGCCTCTAAGTGTTGACTTCTATGTTCACTTTTATATTTACACACGCTCTATCTCTGATATTGAGCACTTTATCCCATAAATATAGCACACCTTAAGACTATATTTCTTTATATATATATATATATATATATATATATATATATATATATATATATGTGTGTGTGTGTGTGTGTGTGTGCGTGTGTATGCGTCTGTGTATATATATGTGCGCGTGTCTGCGTATATATATATGTGTGTGTGTGTGTGTGTGTGTGTGCATATATATATATATAAATTTTATATATATATATATATATATATATATATATATATATGTGTGTGTTTGTGTGCATGTATATATATATATATATATATATATATATATATATATATATATATATACATGTACAAGTTGCAATGTGTAAATTGTCGCTAATTTATATTGTTACTCTCTCGCATGAGAGTTGATTTTTTTTTGTGTATTTTTTCGACTGCACATTATAGTAGGTTAAATTGGGTACCGTGTGTTAGGCAAAGAGCTTCATGACGTAATTCTCTCCGCCGCATATCACCCAATGCAAACATTTCAGAATATTGGAGTGTCAATCTAAGGAGAGTGTTGGGGATTCGGAAAGAGTTGGATGAATCTAAGGGTGATTACGAATGTAAATCAGCTCGGAAATCTCTCTCAGATCGTTATGATATGAGAAATATCCAGAATTAGTTGGTGAGGACCTCACACTGAATACTGAAGCCTCCATCAAGTGCTTTGAGCAGGTAGTTCTGCTATGGGTCATTAGGGTGGCTGCTGGAAGACATATGTCTGACAAAATGACTCTGCACCATGTCACACTTAGGGGAATCCAGTCATTGTTGTTAGGCAAATTTTGAGACAACATCACCTCTTACTCCTCAGACTACAAATCCGTTATTATGTGTGAGTAGTTGTTAAGTCACAGACCAAAAAACCTCTTTTGAATGCCAAATATGATCTGAAGGCAATGATTATGGCAGCATTCGCCAACTTAAAAAAGGTGACAATCTAGAAAAATTGCTGGAGATTCCGAAGTCGACTAGAGGCCTTGGTTGAATGCAATCGCGAATTTATTAAATACATTTTCTCTTTATTTTTTTTCAAGATATTTTACGCAGTTTTTGTTAATGTATCTCTTAAAATAAGTCCTCAGTATTATTTTCGTTTTTGCGTCATTTAGACGAAAATTTATCCATCGCACACTTTGGGTATATAAAGAAAATGAAAATAACGTGCAGAAGCTGTCCGAAGGCAGTGATGAAATGACTGAATTTCAAAATCATCAATAATGATTTTCATTTCGTACCCTAAGAACGGTTCTAGCCTCTCCGTATAACATTTGAGCGATTGGTCAAATGTTCTTTTTCACAGAATATATTGTGAATCAACGTCGTTCGCCAGATGTGTCGCATTCTATGTTTTCTTTGTCAGGTTCTTGGTTTCATCACGTTCCTGTACTAGTTGGCTTCCATCAAACAAATGATTTTTTTGTAAATTTGTTGGGCTTTATCTATTTTGCTATCTATGTGGTTTCTTTCTAATATGCTTGATTTGATCCACTATTAGTAGTGACATATATTACATGATCTCTGACCGGAAATTAATTTTAACCCATGTCGAAACCGGACTGGCAACAAATCATTGGTGACTTTCTATTGATGTAAACATGTGGGAGGGAGACGTCATAAAATGTGCTTCTATAATATGTGTAGTAAATAGCAGTAAATAGGTTTTTATTCGAAACTGGAACATTTGAAAAGGAAATAATTTCATAATTATGAAGTATTTTGTGAAATATTTAAGATGGAAGCACATATTTAATTTTGAAGGGGATGCTTTAAAATAATCCGGGAATCCATTAAAGACGATTCATGCTTAGAAGTCCTTTAATAAAAAGTATGCCAGAATATATTCAAGGCAATTGGACTTGAGAGAAACGTAAACGATGTGTAACAATGTAAAAATTGAAAGGAAGATATATCGATCACATAGACTCTCCTGTAACATTTTAATAATAACTGCTAATTCTGATAGTATACCTACATTTGTTGCATTTTCTCTCTTAAAACTTTGCATCATACAGGTTGGCCGGTACCTCCTCCTTTTAAATTTTTATATTTCAAACCCGTACTGGGTATGAAGATAAACTGCATCCGCGTCCTGAGGAAGACGATAAAATATGTCCAACAGCAAAGCCTCTGATCAAGAGGTTTTGAAGAGTGTGAGAAAATAATTATGAAATTAATATGCTAACTTTCCACAATATTTGAAATAAAAGTTTAGGCAGGGAAATCCCTATTAATATTAGAAAGAGCGATAACAGCTACTGACCTTGAGAAACCTATTTTCCAGAAAAATTGTTCGCAGAGAAGCCCACCTGAACACACATTATAATCAGAATATATCACACATATTGTCGTATTTTGAGCGAATAACTTTTAATATTTATTTGGGTCATTAAGACACCTGTATAGGTCGACAGCAGGCAATGAAACTTACTAAGGACAGATAATATAATGTTATTCGTCCTGATCTGGCATAACAGATTAAGTTATTTTTCTCACACCGGTAAAGTACCTTCACGCTGCCTTTTCTATAAATGTTTTCATTGTAATTGTCATGATGTATTTCGAACCATGATTGGCGGCAAGGTCTCATTTTACAGTTGAAATGACGAGGTAACCGTAAGTTCGTTGCTAACAGTTTATTTTATCGCACTTCTCTGTTTTGGAAATTTGTACTGTTTTTCTGACTCAAACGAAAACTCGTTTGACACTTTTGTGATGCCAACGAATACACGTTTTCACTTTCGTAAACTCGTTGTAGTAGCTATAGTACTCTCTTAACCAATACTGGTGTCAGGCGCATCCGAATAACACCCTCACTAATAATACTTGATCGATAATCCTCGTTCGAACAGTAATCCATATAGTGATCCGAATAGAGAAATAGTAATAGTATAGCGAATAGAGTAGAGAATAGCGGTCCTTATAAGTAATAGAGGATAGGGCAGAAATAACGATCAGGATAGTAATAGATGATAAACTACTTAATTCAATAGTGGGATCGCCTGTGTTTTCTTACTGGCGATCTATGTTCAAACTCAAGTATCGGCAGCGACACTTTATTCCTATATAAAAACAGACTTTTTGCTTCTCAGACAAATTTGATCATCACACATTTGTCTTGTCTTTTTAATTTTCGTTCTTTTCTTGTTTTCTCTCCGTAATAGTCTCTTGTATTCTTATATTTCCTAACTGTCAGTAATCTCTTGCGTCTTAGTATATTTATTGCCTTGTTTGTGGTGAAATTACAAAAACATTGTAAGTCTACAGCAGCTAAGGTTTTAATAAATAATATCGATGTTTAATTCAACAGGAATCCGGAGGAAATATTCATAAAGAATAATGCCAGTTGGAAATCGAGTTTATAAAAAAAAGATAAATAAAACATCGGGCAAAAATTTATAATTTAGTGAGATAGCAGATAAATAAGCGAGATCAGTGCAAACTATTTGCTAATGAAAATTCATGACCAAATATTACAATCTGAAATTTAAAGTACTGTGCTTTTATCACACAACTATTCTGTAGGCATTTGATTTACAGCCATGTTTATTCTACCAAAATATTTAAAAACTGAAATCGATATTAAGATTTTTCTATAAAAAATAATTTATTTTGTTTATCGGTAAATATTCGTCCAGTCTCTTTCGTTCCGTCAATTCGATCGTGAGTCTACGTTTTCGTGACTGCCGTGCTATCAACATTACGTTTTTAGGTATTTTTGTATATAATACTCTTGTGAACAAATGTGTTGACGTTTTTTTACGAGAAGTAATGAATGCATTGCGTGAATTAAGTCGAGTGATTGTGAATTGTAAACGGAAGAACCAGGATAAGATGATTAGGGAAATTAGTTGTTTTGAAGTAAGTCATAACTTGAATATAAAGCATGAGAAAAACTGACTTAAGCAGGAGAAATAATTAGTCAATTCCGACATTTTTTAAACAAGTCATAGAGCCTCTAATCCAGACAGGAGTTAGCCCTCCGCATTTATTAGTCGGACAGTCAAGAATGTCGTTGTTCTCACCAGTGAACAGTTACCCAGCCTATACACCCTTTCTCCAATAGCACATGTATACCGTATGACGGATGGGTGGATTCCGAAGGTACTTCTGAGCGGGGAACTGGCCGTCGGTAACAGGACAGGAAGGTGATATGATATTCGCTTCATGGACATCTGCAAAAGAGACATGAGGGAGATGATCATGGGAATCGAGAGGTGCGAAGAAGTCGCCAACCAAAGGTCACACTGGAGACGCGATTTAAACCAATGACTGAAACGAGGAGAGGAGAAACGAAAGCATTCTGCCGGGCAGATGAGTGCTCGGCCAACAACAATCACTGAATACAACATGGCGATATCGGAAGAGACCGTCTCTACATATATTCGGTGCAAACAAGACTGTCCCTGCCGCGTGGGCCTGTACAGCCTTAACAGATGCTGCGCCGCTATCAGCATCTGAGACATAATTCTTTGCGTGCAGGTTTTCTTGAGACCGGCACGCGCGTGCGAACTCCCCCACCCCACACTATATAACGATATGAGCAAGATGTAGACTCGAGTCCTTATGAAGGCTTGCATTGGTTCGCTATTTTTAGAAGAAGAATAAGATTAAAAGAAAAAGATGAAATAGTCACAGGTTAAGGACGAAGGCAAAGGGAATGAATCTCAAGAAAAGAATTAAATTAGACGAATGAAAAAACTAAAACTAAGATGAGCGGGAAATTCATTCTCTAAATTTTGCATCACGCCATTGGTGACAAATATGTAGCGAAGTAGAGGTTGCATCTTCATCATTTTGATGAACTATCGATAAATTTTCCTCAACTGACCGATTACGTCTCTGCAATTTTATACTTTTGTAAAGTAAAAAGTCCATATCAGTCACAAGTAGATACATATTTTTCGACTAAAGTTATCTATCTATCAAGCTATCGCAGTCTATACATCTATCTATCTATCTCTATCTATCTATCTATCTATATATATATATATATATATATATATATATATATATATATATATATATATATACATATATATATTTTCACTCTTTTTCAGTCTGTTCATATCTATCTATCTATCTATCTATCTATCTATCTATCTATCTATCTATCAATGTCTAGTCATATCTATCTATCTATCTATCTATCTATCTATCTATCTATCTATCTATCTATCTATCTATCTATCTATCTATTTCAGTCTGATCCTATTTATCTATTTCAGTTTGTCTGTTTCTATCTTTCTATCTATCTAATTCAGTCTGTCTTATCTATCTTTCTAAGTTTGTCCATTATCTATCTATCTATCTATCTATCTATCTCAGTATGATCAAATCTATTTATATGTCTATTTATGCAAGTGAATTCATTATCTATCTATCTATCTATTTATCTATCTACCTATTTCCGTCTGTCATATCTATCTTTCTATGTGGGTCCATTATCTATCTATCTAAGGTAAAATAAGCCACTGAGAGCAATGCAAAATATACTGAAAAATATATTAGGAAAGAACACACTATAATCAAGATATTTTGCACATGATGAACTATAAAAATCGGAAAAATGGTTATTAAAAGAGTTATAATGACCTCAACCTCGGGTTTGACTAGTAAATAAACTAGAAAACAATTGTATGACTCGACTTGCTAGTTCTCGTCCATGTATATGTCGGACGCTCTTAGACTCTTTCGTATGTTAGGGGCATATGTTTTTATACTCATCGACAAAACAACAGACAGGAGAATAAAATCTAGAGATCTAGGTGATCTGTTTCTGCAAATGATATTACCAATACACTTCTCAGTCAGTCAAGGGCAAAATGATAGACACGAACAATACATCATTTTCAGTATTTCTCTGACATCAGTTTAGGAGGTTATCTTGAACGCCGTGTCAGGAGAGAAAACCATGACAAGGACTTCATTGTCCAAAACCCGAGGGACCAACAAACAAGAAATAGTTTTAGAGACATGTTATTTCTCTTGCTTACTTATCTACCGATGTAAACACTCCCTCTTTCTGAGTCGTTCTTCCTTTCACTAGTGTCACTTCCATGGTATACAATTTTCTATATTACGTAAGACTGGTTATGCTAAATAAATTATCTCTCTATCAATGTGAATATGAAAATATCTGTGAAAAATACGGTTTCTTATATACATAACCTTGTATGAAATGGACAAAGTCCGACAATTATTTTACGACATTTTTTTTATAGTTATACTTTCTTTTTATAGATACAAATATTTAAATAAATGCTCTGTTTATAATAAACAGGATTAACGACATTTACCGACCTGAATGTCCGAGATATTTTCATAGAAAATATTCGTCCTCCAACAGGAATCGAACCAGTAACCTATACGGAACCGTCATATAACCTGAGGTGCTTTTACCGATTAAGCCACAGAGGAGCGTTTCGTTTAGCAAGGTCAACTTTACTGTTTTTAAACTACAATTATCCATGATTTTCTCTCGTACATTCATATCTGCTCGATGCGTATCCAAATGTAAACAAATGACGTCATCTGTTTACATTTGGATACGCATCGAGCAGATATGAATGTACGAGAAAAATCATGGAGAATCGTAGTTTAAAAAGAGTAAAGTCGACTTTGCTAAGCAATAATTTCCTCTGGGCTCAGTCGGTAAATTCACGTCAGGCTTTATGACGGGTCCGTATAGGATACAGGTTCTATTCCTGTCAGAGGACGCATGTTTCTAAGAAAATTTCTCGGACATTCAGGCCGGTAAATATGGTTAATACTGTTTATTATGAACTGAGCATTTACTTAAATATTTGTATCTGTAAAAAGAACGTATAAACATAAAAAATGTCATAAAATAAACTTGTATATATGCAGTCTATAATTAACTATACATAAATACATGCATATACCAAATTTATATTTATTATTAATATATAAGTAATATTCAGTTTATTGTAGTGAGAAATAATGTCATGCAAATAACTTCATTAATAATTACTGTTCTTTACGTTACGGGTATAAAACTGAAGCTAGCAGATATAGATGGCCCGATTGATATATTGTCTTAATTAGGCAAAAATTAAAATGACACTGTCATCTCATTTTAATAGAGATATTTACCAAAATTACAAAAAAAATATCTTGAAATGATACAGAGTAAATTTGTTCACTAAAATTGCCATTGTCATTAACCACAAACTCAGCCGACTTCAAAATCTACAACCACATTCAACACCATTCTTCCTTCACTATCTCAGATAATCAAAAATAGATGGGAAATTACTACATCTCGAATCAGACCTAATAATTAGTTTGAGGAACCCGGCCTTCTGGCATATAGTAGACAAAAGAACATTAAGGAAATTATAAATGGTAATCAAATATCAGGATAAGACAACCCGTAATAGACCAAGAATAAATGCAACAGGTCATTCTCAACAATGTAACAACAAAAGGAGCCTATTCTGTAACCATATTAGGCATACCAATTAGTTCATTAGCTCAGGCACTACGACTACTTTTAAAATCTACCACAATTCTAGCAGTAGAAGTAATAGCATTATTTACTCATTAGAATGCGCACTATACCATGAATAATATATGTAAAATCTTAATGTCCCTTTCACTACAGAATTAATAATTATCGGAATCGGATCAAGTCGGATCCCCACGAAAGATAATTGCCTGAAAAATATTTCTAGGAAGAAAAACATGATTTTAATTGACATGTAAAATTCGCTATAATTGAAAATATACAAATAGACACAAAAGATGAGCTTAGAAACATACTAGAGAAACATGAAGATAAATGGATTTTGTGCCTCAAAACACTTCGTCCGGACGGTCTTAGCCACAGACTAAACAACACAGATAGAATTAATATATTCATAGATCATTCCCGCCCACATTTCTCAACCACACTATAGAGGCATGCTTACGGAGGTGTTGAAGTCTCCCACATGCACAGACTCACACAAATATATACAGAAACACACATCACACACGAACCCCTAAAAAAAACCCCAAAATTAAAGAATAACATACACTTAATACACACATTCCCTTCCCAGTAACCAATAAAGCTGCCAAAATGACGAAGGAGGTAATTCTGAATGTATCTGCCAGCCTCCATTTTAAAAAAATTAAAGACGCCGTTTAACCAATAGAAGGACTGACCAAAATTAACGACAAAAAATGAAGTGAAAATTGCAGACAAAGTTCACATTCTTCAGAAAAATCCATGCACTCCTGATGCTAACAAGCAGGGTTTTTTTTACCTCCTGATGATTGCCATGTTGGCAGAAGAAAAAAAAATTAAACAATAAAACAAAAATATTTAGATAAAAATCAGTGTCCTTGAAATTTTAATTTTGTAATATTGTGTTTTTTGTTATCACAAAGTTTCGGCTGTTGTACGCTCCGGCCTTCTTCAGGTGGTTGGAATGTCGCACTAAAACATTTTTTTCGCTCAATGGAGTATACTGTTCTAGTTCCACGTGCCATGTCTGAGAACACATGACACAGTGGATAAAGGCGTTTGTAAAATCCAGTGAGAGGACCCAAAGAGTGTGCGTTCAATACCTGGTTAAGGCGGTGGATAACTTACAATGTTTAATTAACAGGAAATAACTGATAACTAACATCCATTAGATGTGTGAAGCGGGCGTTTATATATGAGTTTGTGTAGTACTACTTAAAGAGCCTAACATTTTTTTTTTTTGCTTAAACCATTGATCTACTATATATCCTTGATCTATGTCTGCCCGACCGACTAAATTAAAAACGAAGAAAATATATGAGTTGTGATCAAATATGGATCGGAATTCGACAGAATGTCAAGATAATAACATACGAGAAATGTTTATCAGTGAAAATGAGATCTGGAGAAAACGAAGAAAGAAATTCTGGTATAAGCATGTTTTCCATGCATTCCACGTATTAAACAAATTAAACTTACGTTTGTTTGACAAGTAGATAGATAGATAGATAGATAGATAGATTGACAGACATAAATAGTTATTTCCCACTTCTTGTGAAAGATTTATTCATTTTTAATTCTAAAAATTTGGGTAATACTCTCACCTTTCATTAATACGATTTTATATATATATAGAACTCCCCAAAATAAAAGTATTTTCTTTAATCAAATAATTCAAAGCTTGACTCTTTCAGGATGGTCTCCACGGTCAAAATGATAGAAATAAGAAATATACTGTCTATATATCTATATAATTATTGTTACTCGAAACGTCTTTGCTAAATCGTAGATATCCACAAATATCGATGCTTAGAGTTATAAGAGCGGTTTTACTCATGAAAGAAATAAAGTTTATTGTAATAAGGAATTTCCCTCTCTCCCTCTCGCCATATATATATATATATATATATATATATATATATATATATATATTTATAAAAAAAAAATATAATTCTTTCGATACCTAAGAGTTCTCATGTTTCAAAACCAAGAGCCAACAACCTCAATATAATTATTGAAATTAAATTGAATTAAAGTATCAAGCCATGTTTCATCCTCAAACGAAAATTTAGGAATAACCAATCATGAAATTTACGCATCATTATAAGCATGTTCATTCGCAAAATGACCTATTATGGAAACGATTGGAGCGACCAAAAATACTAAAGAAGCCCGGATTATTCACCTTACGTGTTATTTCCTATTTTTCTACACACACACACACACACACACACACACACACACACACACACATATATATATATAGATATATATATATATAGAGAGAGATATATGAATAAAAAGAGACAGAAGGAAAAATACACTTAGCCAAAAGCAAACTGGATGAAAGAAAAAAGCTATTATTCCCCAATGCTCGTATATACTCAAAACATCTCACCATGCTTTCACTCTTTATGCCCACGAATTTTAGAAATCCTCAGGAGGGGAAAAGACTACGTTTTTACACACACACACACACACACACACACACACACACACACACACACACACACACACACACATATATATATATATATATATATATATATGTATATATATATATATATCAGGAGGTGCTGTCCACAAACACGAACGGTCTAAAATTAGAAATTCAGTCACCTCCGACGACTAATAGATTTTCTTCCTCCTTTTACTTGTCACTTTTTATTCATGTTTTCCAATACAGATACAATAAGTCTGAAAACAATTTACACACACACACACATATATATATATATATATTTAACATTTTAAATTTGCCACATTTATGATGGAAAAATAACCCTTATTTTCGAGGGATCATTTTAGCATAAGCTATCTTGTAAATTTCAAAACCCTCTGTGTGTGTGTGTGTGTGTGTGTGTGTGAGATACATTTCTTGCTTTTATGGTTATACAGTTATTAAATGTTTAGCAAGTTATTCGCAGGCTGAGAGACATAATTCACTCAATTTAAAATTTTTTTCAAAGGCCAGTTTTCGGTGACTGATGATTTTTACGTGCATGTCATTTTACCAATACTGAGGAAGGAATTCCCCACCCTCTCTCTCTCTCTCTCGTTGTCTCTCTCTCTCTCTCTCTCTCTCTCTCTCTCTCTCTCTCTCTCTATATATATATATATATATATATATATATATATATATATGTTTGTGTGTGTGTGTGTGTAGCTAGAGGCAACCGGGCGTCACAGGGGGAGATTCTGGAATCTATTATATTTAGTAGACCTTTGTGCAAATTAATTAAAACAAAACGAATAATTCTTTTACTACTTATTCCTTTTTCCTATTTTCCAATGAAACATGACCCAGTGCACATGTTAGTACTTTATATGTCCAGTCCACGAAGCCGTGCCTTGCAAATTGACCACAGATTCTCAACTGGATTTAAATCAGGAGAGTTTTCGTCCCAATCTATAGTATTATGATTTGCTCACTGCTAAAGCTTGCCAGTGTGTTCGTGCAGCGTTACAAGTTTTTTTTTTTAATCTTCCTTGGAGTAACGTCCATCTCAGACAATGGCCGTAGGACAACTAATCGACCCATGAGACAATAGTGTCTAGGCGTGATAAAAATATGA